GTAGTTGGTCATTATGGATATTTTTTTCTTTTTTTTTTTTGTTTTTGTTTTTTTTTTCTCTTCTTTTCTGATAATTCGACAAATCTGTGCCGAGCTCACTTCCAGTCTTTCTTTCGTTATTATTCCTCATTTTTCCAGCAAAAGAATGCTGGATTTAATAATAAACTTTTAAAATTAAAAATATAACTCCCGGGTACTAATATAAAGTAAAATGATTAAATACTGCAAAAGCTTCTCGAACTAAAAAAACTAAAAAACAGACGATATTTCCCCTAACATTTGAATAAAAGTGAAGTTGGATTTAATTGGAAACTTGCTAGTTAGAACAAGGACCTCAAGTATTCAAATTTTCTAGTCTAGTGCACAAGACCACTCTTGAAATCCTGAGCAAAAAAAAGAGACCACTAGAGAGATGAAAAAGTAAAAAATGTTTGAGACTGCTTCACCTACCTTCAAAAAATACGTTTAATTAAACATTGCTAAAAATTCCAATTCAAAATCACAAAATTATCACTACCAGTTCAAACCTAATCACCTCTTCCATACAGTTCAACCTTTAAACACTTTCCAGAAATAATTTTTTCTAATGCATTAGCCTTTAGAAAAAGCGTGTGCTCCTTGAAGACTGCAGAGTAAGAATAAATCTCAAATCCAAGTTTCTTAAAAAGACCTATACTGCTAATGTTGTCTTCTACAATTTTTACTTGGAACTTCGTTATGTGAAGAAATTTTACACTGTACTTTATCATCATTTCGGCTGCTTCAGTCCCAATACCTTGACCTCGAAAACTCGTTTCAGCAACCATAATTTCCAATTCTGCAATACCGTCTGCGAGGAATATGTTCACGTCACCAATCATTGAGCTTACCTTAGTAAGAAGATTAATAAACAATTTTGCAACAAAAGAAATACATGAAGAGTCCAAGCGGTGAGTCGTCATAATGTTAATACAAACAAGGTAACCTCTATATGATGACAAAACGTGACTATGAACAGACCTCATCTGATCCACCATCAAGAAGCTTCCTACTGAGCAGAATAAATGTACACTTGTCTTCGTCTTCCCTCCAGCTTTTCTGCATCCTGTACTCCTCTTCCAAAGTGAGCCGTTCTGAGCCTGTCACCCTCCGCAATTCAGGATCCTTAACTGTTAAGAGTAACTCTCCTTTTTAAAATTGGTATGAAGAACAGCACCGAGAGAAAAAATGCTTGATTTGCTCAAAACAATGCCCAGAAAATATTATTCGACTCACTTCTAACCAATCATGGTACTTTTTAACGTGATGCTGCTCATACGGTACTAATACAACTTTAGCTCCAACCAATTTGATTTTCTCATTGGCGCGCATGGATGAATGGAAGGGAACAACAGCAGGATAGTTTAAGCTGAAATATCACCAACATCCTGCAACAGTATGACACTTGAATAAGTGCTTTACAAAAATGAAACAGCAACGCCCTAGGCTCAGAGGATCGAGAGCGGGTAAACCAGAAAAGTAAATAAAACTGTCATCTGTTACTTAGTAATGACTAGATATTACGTAGGTTACTAAATGACTCGCATAAAATTTTAAGCGTTCTATAGGCAAGATTATACTAGCCTTGAAGTGTAACATAACGCGTTTAATGCTGTACTTCCTTGACTTCTAGATCTCCGGTAGCAAAAATCATAAGTTAGCAAAACCTTCGATCGATCAGGTGACAGTCTGGTAGAAGAAACAAAAGGCAAAAGTTTTAAAATAAAAATTTTCTCCAGAACTATTTCGCAAGCTAAAAGTTTTTTATCTTTCTAATTGCACCGCACTTCTTCTGTGATTAAACAGGAGTGAGAAACCTGCTAGAAGTTTTCTCTACTATCTTTTAGTAACAAAAGAAATTTGTGGTCCTCTGCATGAAACAGAGACTACGAGTAAAGGATAGGGACTGCAATTTTCAGTGAATAGACCTCCAAACCATTAAAACACTAAGGTAATTTGAAAAATAACTTCAGAAGCATAAAGTTCTTACCCTTTTGAAGAATACAAGTACTTTTTCTTGGCTGTCAGTTCAAATTCTTCTACTTAGAAAAAAAACCAGTGATAACTTTGGTAGATAGGGATGGCATAGAAAAAATATAATGTACAGATATCTGAAAATGAATAATGAGGCTCATTATCAAACATATGATTTGAGATAAACGTTAATTGAAGTAAGAAAGACACCAGTCTGTTATTGAAAGGTGCAACGTAAATAAAAAAATTCATCAGCGCTGTGAATCAGCAAAAAAGCAACAGATAAACATTTTTTTCTCACATCACTCTCCCAGTGGCCATTTTCTCCTGGGGCATGCAATGAGAGTTCTAACAGCTTCAACCTTTCAATGAGGTAGAGTCCACCGAGTAATCGGTCCTAGCATCTAGGGCATCTTTTATGGAAACTAGGGACAAAAGTTAATGCCAGTTGTTAAAACATCAATCTTTATTCTTACAACGAACGTTTGAATTGAAGTATACTTCGCCATGTTATAACAGATTCTACCAATTCTTCCCGCGCACTTAAATCTATTAAACAAAACCCTTTATAACGGCGGAAATTCGAATGGGTTATCAGAAACATTACTTGAAAGTAGACATCTGCGATTAAGGATTACTATGTCATAGCAAACTGAAGTAGAATTACTCTTTGAACTTTGTGATTTGTAATTACTGGTGCGGTAAAGGTATCCGTTGACTTCAAGACAACACAGTTGAAATCTCAGCAAATTTTGTGAAACTGATGGCGCTAACGCATACCGTTAAACAAACAAAACGTAGCCGAATTGCGGAAATACACTTGTCTCATTCTAGAGTAAGTGACACTGGATCACTGATCTTGGCTTCCACAGTTTGTAAGCAAATTTAATCCGTTTTCATTTGTCGTCTAAATTTGATGCTTCCTTCATTATGTTCTTATCGCTCCTGTTGAACTTCTAAACAATGAAAATTCCCCACTAAATGCTCTGTTAAAATAAAGTATAAATATTGAAGATGAAATATTAACAGATTCGTAACCAAATCTTATTTATTAATCTTACACTGACTTCTGATATTCTAATTGATGGTCAAAGCGGGTAAGGATTGCTTTCAGATTTATATGCAACTTGCCACATAGAATAGGCAACTCGTAGAAGAACGACATATAGAACAAGTGCTCGTGACAAACCTTGCAACTGCCTCAGTGCACGAACCCTCTCCCTCAAGCGTTGCCAGGGCTCTTATCAGTTTGCGCAATTCAATGGAATGGACATTTTAGAACTTTGGCAGTGTTATCATCAAAACCCACCATTTCATGTTCCTACTTGAAGGTTTTATTTTGGTCGTTGCGAAATGGCAGTTTCTTAGTTATTTTCAGGTAGAGCCTAGAAGGCTCGCAAAGAATATTTTCATTCTCTGTTATCGTTGTTGCTGTTGGTTATATGTGTACGTATAGTGCTTTGTACACTCTACGATCGTATTGTTACCTTAGGAATTGCTGTATTCGCTTGTTTCTACACTTCCATCTTGACAAAACTTCTTATATCTCTGTCAGTGTTGTTGTTGTATCATATGATTTTAGCAGTTTTATCCACTGTTCATGAATTTTAAAAGTTCTTCACCAACGGAATAAGGACTGAGATGGCACTCTGAAACCACCCAAACTTCATACTACGCCTTTGACGAGTATTAAGAGAAAAGGTAGCCTTGTTCCTGAGACAGTTGCCATTTTGGCACTAGAACATGTAAAGCTGAGTACTCAATCACAAAAAGTCTACGAAGATTCGTTATTTTTTTACAGATGAATTGTTCGTGTATTTTTTCGTGATAATACTTATGCATCTGTGAGGACGGTAAACTGCAAAGTGAATTTGGTGAAGACTGTTTCTGCAGTGATAGTCATTTGTAAACTTATGATGCGGTGGTGTGAATAATGAGAAGATTGTTCGAGTGATTTTTGTTCTGTGTCTTCTCTAGAGAAAGGTAATTGTTTTGTGTGGGTAATATTAAAATGTTGCAGGCAGAATTTTGGGGCAGTTTGGGAAGGAATAGTGCCTTGTATATTGCTGGGTAACGGCAAAAGAGGTTGATCTGATGGGTACATCAGGTAAAGATGGCGGTAATGTTAGTCAAGTAGAAACCTACAGAAATGGTGCTGTTTTCACTATGCAGAGAAACTTCAAAAGTTTGTTGTTTCTGACACATTTGTTATTTATTGCTTTTTTTGCTGTATTTTTTAGTGTTACAAATCCATTATTTTAGTATTTGCCCGGGCAGTCTTTGCCCTGAATCGCATTGGTGATGAACTATATCTGGAACCAAGTCGTGAGGGGGTAAGAAATTGAAATATCTTTTTTTTTTTTATATCTCAGCAGTCGTAGTTAACAGAAAAATATAGTAGGATTGTTAGTTTCCGTAATTTTTCAAATCAATAGAACTTTACTAGGTGTTGCTTTGTCGTAACATGCGCATCTTATAGGTAATTTTAGAAAATTCTTTGCACGTTTCTTTTGCTTTTTAAAAGTTTAGTGCTCAGTTTTATTCCTTTGTTTGCATCCTTTTATATGTTTCGTATACCGTTAGCAACATCATGGCACTTGTTGAGCTTTCCTCGACTGTTTTCTGCCCATCAGCTTGAGTCCTGCGTCGGATCCCTCTTCTGTTACTGCACCTGTTTTTGCCGTATCTCAGCAGCACAGAGAATTTTTTGAAGTGAACGCTTTTAGTGTTCAAAAAGTATATCATTTTGAATCGACTGCCACGTTCGTTTTTGAATAAAGGATTGAAAAAAACACGAGAAAAAATTTTTGAGAAAGCTAACTAATAAGCGATCACGTTGCTGGCGGAGAAGTGGATTCTATGTTGGCATGCAGAAGGGTTATAATTTTTTGGATAGTTTTAAACTGGCCAGCAGTTCAAGAAACTGAAGAACTGTCAACTAAAAATTCTTGAGGAAAGCTGGGTGAACTTTCGAAATACCACAAATTACAGTTGCAGAACTTTAGCATGTCTCTTGTCGCGGGTCGGTGAGAAGTGCTAATCAAAAAACTATGCAAAAAAATAATCATTGTAACATTAAAACAGTTTCAAGGGCCCTTTATATAAAGGACGAAGTCAGGTTACTGACAAAAAAGTCTTGTTGTGAAGTGAACTGTATATATATGTTTGATGAATAATTAAATTAAAATTTTCAGCTGGCATTACGTTCTTTAAACTGTAGCAAGTCAGCATACGCTGCCTTCCTTTTCTCCACTACCTTTTTCGCTTCATATGATGTGGACCAAATTAGGGATAGTGAAAACAACTTGTGTAGAATATCGATGAAGGTAATTAATCTGAAAATTTTCACTAACACGTTTCGCGTTTTGGGGAATCGACAGAAATTTTATGTGGAATAGTCTAGGTGGAACATTGCACAGTGTTACAGAATGTTTTTCTCTAGTCATATAGGGCAATGTCTTTAGAGATAAGGGTATGCTTCTTACGCTGTTCTAGCCTGCACTGATGGCATTCAAATGCGCAAAAACCTTAGAGAAGTCCGTCTTGGCGTGTAGTCTGTTTATTAATCCTAAGGCTGATACAATGCTTGTTCAACTTACCCACACTTACGGTAAGTCTCACTAAAAGTTCAGTGTACTTCAGTGTTTAACCTGAAAGTAGAGAACGGCAAAATTGACGATTTAAGATAATAAAGTTATTTTTTTTTATTTTAATTTTCTTACTGTTGTGAAGATCTGTAGATATTGTCAAATCTCACGAAATCCCTCTACTTGAATGCACAACTGCGTTTCGAAATATTGTTGATAAAGCTGACCTTAAATACAATTTAACTGCATCGTCAAGGTTAGTACTCTTACTGTA